GATTTTTTAAAAATGCTGATTTAGATGGTATTACAAAGATGAAGTGATTGTTAAATGTTGCAAAAACACTGAAATTGTCTCTTGCCATAAGAATTAACTACATGATGCTTACTCTCTTTAAAATGCTATATATGCCATATACGCCATATATACACACACACACACACTTTCTTAAATGTCTAGAGAATATATGCAAATTAGCGCTTATGCTAATCTACGAAGCAGATTGTTCCAGAGGACTAACTCCCAGACTATTCTTGATATAATTAGTTTTTTAATGTATCCAGTGATTTAAGAGTTAATGGTTCTTTTATTCTAACTTACCACAACATGGTAGGTTTTATTTTTGTGTTAGAAATGATACATACATACAAAACATTGCACCTTACTTTGCAAAACAGAAGTGCTTCACTGAAAGGAAGCCTAGGTTTATATAGACTTGGAGTAAAGAGATTCAACCGTCCTGCCATGGAGGACACTATGTTCATTCCTGGAACGTGGCATTTGTGAGCCCATCACAAGGCCTTTGTCAAGCTTAGCTTCTTCAGCACTTTATTAGGATTCACCTCAAGTAAGTGTCCCATTGAGATTTGAGGTATGACAGGACACCAGTGCACCACTGAGGTTCCTTCCTATGAACCAAATGAGGAGATCTAACCTGAAACAGTACATGGAATGTCGATCAACCTAAACTCCCAACAAATTGGAAGCACATTAGGTCAATTCTAAGAAACATCTGCTGTGGTTTAGATATGGACTGTCCTTAAATCTATCTATGGATTTAGAGATGGGGACCTTGGGACATGATCAGGATTAGATAAGATCATCAGAGTGCAGCCCCCATGATCAAAATCTTGTGGCTTTATAAGAAGAGGGAGAGAGACCAGAAAGCACACATATGCCTGCTCTGTCTCTTGTGATAGATGCCCTCTGCCACCTCAATACTCTGCCATCAAGAAAGCTATCATCAGATGTAAACCCTTGAATCTCTGTGAGTTAAATAAACCTCTTTTGTTTATAAAGTTTCCCAGCTTCAGACATTTTGCTATAGTAATGAAAAACAGACCATATGCCATCTGTGTAATGCACCCACATTTTAAGAAGGGCATTGAAAGAAGAAAAGGATGAAAAGAAAGAGGAGAAAGACCACACTATATTTTATGTTTATTGAAAGATTGAAATCTAATTTCACAAATGGTAAAATGTACCTCTTAAGAATATTATGTATTAAAAAGCAAAAAAGATAACAGAGTAAGAATTCAGTACACAGACACCTGATTGTTTCAAGTGGATTGTTTTGATTCCGTGTCTACTGCATAATTACAGGGAATTTACCGATCCTTGAGAAATACATGCAAGTTTTTCTGCTAAACATCCATCTGTGCTCTCAACTGTCCCTTCAACACTTTTCTCAATAAAATTTCTTTGTATGTTAAGTGTAGAGCAATGAGATTGTTACTAGCTTTCAACTTGCAAATGTTGGTAATTTCTTAAGTGATAAAGTGTTACTGTTAGCCAGACGCGGTGGCACACACACTTAATCCCAGCAACTCAGGAGGCTGAAACAAGAGGATCCCAAATTCTAGGCCAGCCTGGACAACTTAGCAAGACCCTAAGCATCGTGGTAAGAACCAACCTCAAAATAACAAAATAAAAAGGACTGGGGATGTAGGTCAGCGGTGCAGTGCCCCTTAGTTCAATCTCAATACCAAACAAAAGGCGGGGGTATTATTGTCATTCTCCACAAACAATAAACTGTTGAAAGATGATTGCTATTACATGTCCGTGCAATATGTGTGTATGAATGTGTTTGCAATATTTTCCAGTAAGAATCATTGTGGCTCAAATTCTTTAAATTTTATAATCCTGGTTTTCCCTTCTAGGCTAGGGAAGCAGAGAAACCCTCCCAAGCATATTGGCAATGGCTCAGAGTTTGAGGGCAGTTCCTTTCTGGCTTACGGTTTGGGTTGCATTGATGACTTGACACTAATTCCCCTGAGAACCCATTCCTCAACTCCTTTAGAGGAATGTTGCTCACTCTGGGCATCTCTTCCCACAGTACCCCCAAAGCACAGGAGGCCACCTGAAAGCAGCATCATGCAATAAGACCTAATGCTTAAAGCAGTATACGCCCATCCAGAGGTACACAAACATTTGCAGTTTGTTCTTAATAGATTATACTCTATATTTTTCCTGAAAGTATTGGAAGCATACATTGTGGCTGAGACAGAAAATAGGTATCAGAAGGTTATGGACTGAAATATATCCCTCCAAAGTTCATATAATGAAGCCCTACACCATAGTACTGAGGGCATGACTTGTTTGGAGGTAGGGCATTTAAAGACATGATTAGGAGGCCCTGAGGCTGGGCCCTCATCCAACCTCACTCATTCCCTTACAAGAGGAGACACCAGGGATATGTGTGCACAGAGAAGAGGACAAACGAGGACCATGAGCAGTTAGCCATCGAAAGTCAAGGAGGAAGGCCTCAGGAAAAAATAACCAAACCTGCTGACACCCTGATTTTGGATGTCCATCCTCCTGAACTGTGAGAAAATAAATTTCTGTTGCTTAAACCACCCAGTTTGAGGTAAATTGTTATAACAGCCCTCCTGAACTAAGTGATTACTAAACACTGAATGATTGCTACTGGTTGGGTAGGGCTTAGGAATTGATACCCCAAATCCTGGCACTTTGGCATGCTGAACCAAAGCAGCAGCCCCAGGGTCTCTCTGGCCTTCCCCTGACCCTCTGTCCCTCCATCCTCTTTCCCTCCTAGGAAGGGGCTCTCTCTGAAGTTTCCCTGTGTACATAAAGGCTGGATCCCAGAAGATTAACTTGCAGGAGGAAAGACTAGAGTTGACGCTACACCCAGAGCCCACTCACCTTCCTTAAAAATCATTTGCTCTCCCATTAAGTGGAGCTCTCCAAGTTCCGCTTCCCTCTCCCCTATGAAAAGAGTAGGAAGGCTTCAGCCATCTGGTGCATCCTCAAGTCTCAATTTGTCACTTGGTGTGCCTGTATGTTGATAACTTTGTGCACCTTTTTTCTATTAATCTGTCCATAGTCAGCTCGTGTCAGCAGGCTCAGTGATCAACCCTCATAGGGTTGAGGGTGTGCCCTGAGCCCCTAGAGCTCCCTATAGCTCTGTGTTAAAACGGATTTGAGCAAAGGCAAATATGGCCTGGAAAGTAGCATGGCAGAACCTATGGTAGGTATTAGCCACTCCTCTTCCACAGGGTGAGATGAAAAGATCTAACTACTGTATGAAACCTGCACATTAGAACAATCCCAAAAGTTCTTCGGTAGGAAAAAACTTGGTCTTGAAGGTACGCTTATATTCTTCCTCTGGTTAAAAATAGAAGGAATGCCAGCTGTGGTGGTGGTGCACATCTGTAATCCCAGCAATTCTGGAGGCTGAAGGAGGAGGATCGTAAGCTGAAGGCCAGTCTGGGTAACTTAATCAGACCCTGTCTCAAAATATAAAATAAAGGGGCTGCAGGTGTAGCTCAGTGGTAGAGCATTTGGCTAGCATATTCAGGGCCTCGGTTTAATCCCCAGTAAAACACACACACACACACACACACACAGATGCATGAAATGTAGTCTTTGTCAGGCTCTTTAGCTTTCAGAAAAGAATGGCAGTCATCATCTGAACGTTACTAATTAGTAACTATTACACACAACTGAATAGAATCAATAACAGAACTGCTGCTTTCTCGTCAGAAAGACCAACTTAGAACTAATAGTATTAGTAGGAAATAGTACTTTTATGAATAAATGAATCTCATTTGATGATTTTTTTCTCCTTTTTATTTGTATTTTTTTAAATATTTGTTTTTTAGGTGTAGATGGACACAACACAATGCCTTTATTTTTCTGTGGGGCTGAGGATTGAACCCGGGTCCCGCCCGTGTGAAGCAAGCGTTCCACCGCTGAGCCTCAATCCCAGCACCTATTTGTATTTTTGAAGAACATTCACTTTAGCTTCATTTCTCCCTGCAAAGAATTCTGGAAAACCAGCAACCCTCTCTGAAGAATTTGTGGCCAAAAGCCATTAAGTCTGCACCTCAGTAATCATGCAACCAGTTGCTCAGGCCCCAAACCTTGGTTACTTCCTTTATTCTTCTCTTGCCCTCACTGTGTCCAATCAATCAGCAACTCAGCTCTACCTGCAAAATGTCTTGAAATGTGTCCACTTCTCTCCTCAGTTGGAACCTCAATAATTTCTCATCTGCACAAAGATGACAGTCTCCTACTTGCTTTGTCCACTAGGTCTCTGTTTCTACCATTTCAAACACAGAAGCTAAAGTATGTTTTGTTTTCAAATAAAGATTTTTAGTAGAAATTGGAGCATGCTTATTTTTAACACTCTGAAATGTTTTAGATCCCCATGTGCATTCACCTTTTTATATTCTCCTTCCTTAACCCTGAAGTTCAGCTCTAGCTTAAAATATGGTGTTCATCACCTCCAGGGATGTCTTCTTTCTTTTACAATACTGTAGATGGGTGTGTATTAGTCAGCTCAAGCTGCATAAGGAAATACCACAGACTAGAATTCTGGAGACTGGAGTCCAGGATCCAGGTGTCAGTAGAGTAGTTCAGCAAAATGCCACTTTTCCTAGCTTGCAGATGGCCCTCTTCTTGCTGCATTCACATGTGGTTTTTCCTCTGTGTGCATATGTGTGGGAGCTGGGGGGGGCAGAGACAAAGGGGGGCGGGGCACTATGATATCTCTTCTTCTTTCATAAGTCATATAGGCTTAGGACCCCATCCTTATGATTCATTTAACTTTATTTATCTCCATAAAGGCTCTAAGTCCACGGCTGGAGCTGTAGCTCAGTGGCAAAGCGCTTGCCTTGCATTTTTGAAGCACTGGGCTCGATCCTCCGAACCACATAAAAAAATAAATAAATAAAGACATTGTGTGTCCATCTACAACTAAATGTATATATATATATCTAAGTCCAAATGTAGTCACATTGGGGGTTTGGGCTTCAGCATATAAAGGGTTTTACCAATTCAGTACATCATAATATGTATGTATCCCTAAGATAGACTGTGATTTAAAAAATGATCTAAATGTATCATATTTACCTCAGCTAATGAAACTTAAGGAAGTTGCAATTGGACATCATCCATTTAATAGCTGTCCCTTCTTCAACCCCAAATTCTCATTTGATCAATCATATTTTCAAAAACTGATGGGAAAAAATATTCCTAAATTCTGCTTTTAAATAATCTATAGAAGTCTAAATTACAATGTAGTAAGACTTTATCATGTGACTTATGCAAGGTGATGGGAATTGAAATTACATACATTTTATATTCTTCATTTCTATTTCCAGGTATCTTAAATCTCTCCTATCTGAAGTAACTGTCTGTAATCATAAAAATTAAACTTTAAAATGTTTTTTAGAGACATCAAGAACTTTATCTCCCAGCTTTTGAATAAAAGACAATTTTATTTTTTAAAAAACAGAATTTTTATTTAAAATAAAGTAAATAGTAAACTGGCATATTCAAACCTTTTGACTGGTCAAGTTCAGTGTAATGACATGAATAAGTTCTGATCTATACTGGCACTGGAGCCATCATATTTTCATTTTATAGTCAATTGAATAATTTTTTTTTCATTCCACCTCTCAGAATTCTGTCCTTTTGAGGCAGGTAAACAACTCAGCTCCATCCATATTGTCTCTCATTTAACAATCTATCTCCGGCGCATGCTCGGCAGTTACCAGTGACCTCATGCTGTGGACACATTTTCAGTGTATGTGTGGCTGTGTATGAAATGCTACATTTTCCCATTTTGCTCTCCCCTTTGATCAGCAACCTTGTCTTGTTTCCCACTCTCCCTTGCAACTCTAATCATTTTTTACTCCTTTCAAACCATCGGGGAAAACATAAACAAAAAAACAAGGTCCCTCAAGAATACTTTCCCTTCCCAAAGCTGCTAGCTTAGAAAATTTCCATTTTATTTCTGCCTGAGTATTTTTGATTTAAGAAGTTTTCTTTCCTACCTGGACTAGACGAGTGTACATCAGGGTCCACTGGATAGTCCTGCAGCAGCAACATCTCCAGACACAGCAATATCTCCAAGCCCTCAGGCATCGCAGTGGGAAGACCAAAGCGTTTAAAACTCATTTGAGTCATAATCCTACTACTTCCTGGCAAGATACCTGTGGCAATCACTAAGCTACTCTGGGACTCAGTTTCCTTACTTATAAAATGGGGATTATAATGATATCTAATTTTCATGGTTTTAAGAATTGAATAAATTTGTATACGTGAGTATTCCTTGAGAAGCATCTGAGGCTATTTTACATTGCTATAGCAAAATGCCTGAGATCTTATAAAGAAGATAGTTTTATTTAGCTCACAGTTCTGGAGGTCCAAGTACATGATACTGTCATCAGCTTCTGGTAAAAGCCTCCTGGAATAGCAGCCCATGGAAGGACTGTGTAGAAAAAGATGGTAATCAATCCAGTCCGATGATAGCAAGAAGTTACTTTCTCAAGAAAAGCACTATTCCCTCTCAATGACCTAATCAATTCTTTAAGGCACCAACTCCCAACACTGCCACATTAGGTACCTAGACACAGTGTGAATTTTGGTGATAACAAACCACATTAAAACCACAGCAAGAGCTGGGCTAGGTGATGCACGCCTGTATTCCCAGTGGCTTGGGAGGGAGGCTGAAGCCGGAGGATCAAAAATTCCAAACCAGCCTCAGCAACTTAGTGAGACTCTCTCCCCCCGCCAAAAATAAATAAATAAATAAAAATAAAAAAATAATTCTTAAAGTGGCTCAAAAAAAAAAAAAAAAAAAGTGGCTCGGTGGGAAAGTGGCTCAGTGATTAAATGCCCCTGGGTTCAATCCCTGGCACTAAATAAATAAAACAAGCATAATGCAAGGATATTAGTTTTTGTTTAGTTTAAAAAACATTTCTTTAATAACTAACAGGATAGCAAACTCAAAGGAGTATAGTTAATATAAACACATTCAGAGGGTATACGTCTGAAGAACTAGAGACCACAGCCTGCCTAATACCCCACTCTAGCCCATACTATGCATCTGAAAAAGAGACCCAGTGTTGCCATTTTTTTTTTTCCCATGTAAAGCTAGAACTGGACATCATGACACACACCTGTAATCCCAGTGGCTCAGGAGGCTGAGGCAGGAGAATTGCAAGTTCAAAGCCAGCAACTTAGTGAGGTCCTAAGCAACTTACAAGAAGACACTGTTTCTAAATTTAAAAAAAAAAAAAATTGTGGGAATGTGTCTCAGTGGTTAAGAGCCCCTGGTAAAGCTAGAAATCAAGATGATTTTTATGTAAAATCTTCCAATTTTTAAATATAGAAAGCTAATTTTTAAAAAATGCTACAAACAATATTTTTCTACTAGCCTGAGTTGTCCTGCAAACCTCAAATTTGGCCTGCTGTCTGTCACATACTCTGATTGGCCTTAGGAATTCAAGGAAAAAATGCAGTGTGTGTGGTGAACACTGGAATGCACTGCCTTATCCCCCTTTGAGAAATAGATGTGCTGCCCCTGCTGCGGGGAGTGCTCTTGGCCTCTACAGTTATTGCTTCAGCTGCAGAGATGCCTCACCCCTTGCTGGGTGGCCCATAGCATAGCCATTGACTGGTAAAGGCAGATACAAAGGCCTGACCACTTCATTCTAATTTGCAATAACTCTGAAAGGCCATCCTGGTGCCAGAGGGCTTCTCAGTGCCAGATGAAGCAGTTGCTGAGTTTGCGTCAGAGTTTGTCTTCTCCGTCAGCCTGCTCCTTCCTGCCCCCTTCTTCTTTCCATAGGTGAGTGTTAGTTTTTCATCACTATGATGATGAAAACTTTTGTGACCAAAATGCCTGACAAAAACTAATTACAGGAGGAAAAGTTTACTTTGGCTCGTGGTTTCAGAGATCTCAGTCCATGGTCAGCCAGCTCCATTGCTGTGGGCCTGAGGTGAGGCAGAGCATCATGGCGGAAGACTGTAGGGAAGGAAAGCTGCTTCCGCCCATGGCACCTGGGAAGCAGAGAGAGAGAGCAGCATAGAAGAGGCTGGGGAGAAGATAAACCCATCCAGGGTCCATCCCCAGTGACCTACCTTCTCTAACCATATCCTAGAAGCCTTAAGTTACACCCAGTAGTCCCAAGTATGCTGGAGAACCACCAGCAGTTTCATACTCGTAGAGCTCAAAATGTCATTTGTAGATTGCCATGAGATAAAGTTGGAGAGAAAGTTTTAAATTAAGAACTTGCGGGCTGGGGTTGTGGCTCAGCGGTAGAAAGCTTCCTTAGCATGTGTGAGGCACTGGTTTCGATCCTCAGCACCACGTAAAAATAAATAAATAAAATAAAGGTATTGGGTCCATTTATAACAACAACAACAACCAAAAAAATGTTAAAAAGAAAAGAACTTGGGCTTGATTCAGTAGACAATGGGGACTGCTTCAGAGGTTGACTTCTCCCTCAGGACTGAAGATTTTTTTTTTTTCTACTTATTGAACACTTGTTCTTACTTTCTTCCAACAGTCCTTGAGAAGTCCATCTGTTGTCATAATTTAAAATCTAGACATGAACACTCAGCTCAGCATCTCCACTTGAATGGCCCACAGGAACCACAAAGTCAGCATTTCCCAAGTCAGGTTCATTAACTGACTTGCCTATACCTCATCTTTCTGAATTCCCTACCCTGGTGAATATTAACACTGTCCATCCAGTTGCTAAGCCAGAGTGCCAGACATCAGTCTAGATTCCTTTCTCTCCCTCACCCTCTAGGTTCCAACTTTCAATGTGACTTATAAGTAATCACACCTGAATATATTTTGGATCACTCCAGACCCGCCTCTACTTCCTTAGTTCAGTGAAGTCTTTTAACAACTGGCTAATTTGCCTTCAGTCTTACCCCCTTTGAAATCCATTCACCAAACAACTACACGAATAATACTTCCAAAACAGACTTGATCATGCTAAGCCTCAATTTAAAGTCCTCCAGGAGTCCCCATAATCTTCCAGATAAAAATACTTAACAGAACTCTTCATTATCTGACCACTGATTTCACTTTCTACTTCATTTACACTATTACTCCAAATCCTTCCAGATCTGTATGCTCTCTCTTGATTCTAAAACTTGCACCAGGCTGTCCTCATAGTCTGAAATCTCTTTTCTGGTTGTCTCTCCTCTCCTTCCTTTTACTTGAACACTTATTAGTCTTTGGAGGGCTAAACCTAGGTGTTGCTCCAAAGAGTTTTATGTAATACCCTTACTCCTATTATAAGCTAAGTCCCTCATTTGTAATTCTATCATTGTACCTATCAATCTGTACTTATCTAACTGGGAGATTATAACTGAAAGCAGAGAATATGTCTATTCATTCCCAAATTTCCAGTGTTTAGCATAATATCTGGCACATACTAGTTCTTAATAAATATTTCACCAGTAAAAAAATAAATAAAACATTTCACTCCTAAGCATACAGTCTGACAGTAATATGGGTCAGTGTTTCAAGAGGAAATTAATTGGAGCCCAAAAGAAAAGATACAACAAGTATTAATGATTTAAGTCAGAAAAGTGGGTATAGAAACGGACAAAAAGAAGCTAGAGGAGAAATATAGATAAAACAGCATAATTGGTGATTGGATGTTGCAGATGAGGAAACAATTATGGTACAAAATGACTCCTGGATTTCTGACTTGGGTACCAGGATAATCAATTTTCCCCCAGTACTGACTTGCCTTTACCTCATCCAGGGGCCCCTGATATCTGGCCACATCCCCAGTCCTTTGTTTGTTTGTTTGTTTGTTTTTTTGAGACAGGGTCTCACCAAGTTGCTCAGGGCCTTGCTAAGCTGCTGAGGCTGGCCTCAAATTTGCAATCATCCTGCCTCAGCCTGCCAAATTGCTGGGATTACAGGCATAATAGCTGAACTAAGATACAGAATATAGGTGGAGGAGTATGTTGGATAAGGGGCATAAAGATGATGAGTTTTAATGACTTTGTTCAGGTTTTATTGAGTGTGAGCTGCCTAAAGGAAGTCCAGGGGACTTTCTGGACATCAGTTTAAGGAATACAGAAAGAAGTAAAAACCATAAATAAGATGTCCCAAGGAGAAAAGTTGACATAAGAGGGTGGTCAAATATGGTGTTCTGAGGAGGACACTAACTTTGCTACAGATTGTGTGCAATCTCTTCTTTTTGCCCCTCCAGATCCTTTCCCACCCCATTCCAGAAGATGGGTGTCTCTCTCTCTCTCTCTCCATATATATATATATGTGTGTGTGTGTGTGTGTGTGTGTGTGTGTGTGTGTGTGTGTGTGTATATACATACACACACACATATATATATATATAAAATCACTAATTGTACCAGTGGGCTTCCTCACCCTCCTGTTTTGCTTGGGTTTAGTTCATGTTTAGTTCAGCAGTAGATAACAGAGAAGAGTGAAGCCAGATATTTATTCTCCATGTCACTCCTTGCTCCATCCCTCCACCAAATGTCACAGCAATTGTTAGGGAGCCTTCTTCATAGAGCTATGGCTTCAGGTGCCAGTAACTGCCTGCTCCCTCCAACCTGCACCCCAGTGTTACTAGCCTGAGGCATTGTCACTGTCCCAGCCCTTCCTGCTTTTCCTAAACTTTGTAAACAGCCCTGTTACTAAAATATCCTCAATTACTCAGTTTGAAATGCCATCAGTTTCCTAAAGAGATTCTGAGTGAAGCACAAGACCTCCCAGGAAAGAAAAGATTGGCTAACAAATCTGATAAACTAACTCTATCAACTGCCTTAGTAGACTACCTTTCTCAAATAAACGGATTTCTCCTAAAATTAAAGGAACAATCTTGATGGGAGAGATTTCAGGTACTTAGGTGACCATTAGCAATAATGACTGCAATAGAAAATTAATTTGGAATCCAATTAAATTCCAGTGAGACATTTTCCAAAGGGTTAATAAGTAACTGTATACATGGGTTACTTGTAGGTGGCATGATCTCATATTATAATGAACTTTGTAAGATTTACTAATGGCCTAGGTTACAATGACAATAAATTCTACTTAACTCAGGTAGTTGTTGTTATAGTTGTTACAAACCCCTCAATATCCTCATGTTGTCAACTTGCTTGGAGAAAGTGGCTCAATTGGTTTTGTCTGACATAGCCAATCAATCCTGTAAGAATGGAGGAAAAAATTAGTGGGGACCACTCAAAAACTATTAAAATGCCAATAAGGTTAGGAAGAGACCTATTCATAATGCAAATATGAAGGACTTTTACTGTTGATACTCAGGCCATAAGAAAGTGTGAGTTAGGCTATTACAACTTTGCATTAACTTGTCAATAAGAAAAAAAAAATATAGCAGCTGTGGGATGTGTCCCTGTTATCTCAATTCCAAATTATATTGATATATTGTATGAATGTACAAATATGTAACAATGAATCCCTCTGTAACATATAATTATAATGCTGCAATAACAAATATAAATCAGAGAAAACTCCCAAAGTTTGTTTGTAAGGAAATAACCTTAGAGTTTATCACTTCTAACTTTCCTCTCAACTCACTAATTTCTTGTAGAAGATTCCTCAAAAAGTCACTTGTTCAATGGACATAAATTGAGAACCTGTTCCACAAGCACCACTTAACTTCAAAGACGAAAGCACTTTCACTGCTCTTTCCAAGGAACTCATCCCACATCTGTCCTTGATAGCTGACTTCAGGACAAAGGTCACTATTATAAAGTTCTCTTGAATGAAAATCTGCCTCTACATGACTTTCAGAAAACATTGTTCTGCCTTTAAATATTTTTAGGGAATGATTATGCTTTTGTGCTGTCCACTCTGGCCCCAAGTTTCTTTTAAGCGAGATATATCAAGTTTGCTGTTACTCCTCATGTGGCTTAGTGACCAGACCATTCAGGACCCTGGTCACATTCCTGTATGCACTCTGAAGTTTGTCAAAACCCCTCTTAAATTGAAAAGCCCAAACTGGAAAATATATCCCATATGTTTCCTGAACCTGGACACTCTGCTATCGAAGGACCTGGACACTGCTTTCACTCACGCAGCTACAATTAATTACTTAGCCTTTTGAGAACACCTCGCTCATTTTGTTAAATGAATATAGTTTTGCATTTAACCCAAGTTTTTCTGATCGATGATGATGTAATCCTGGACAAGTTGCTTCACATTTCTGAACCGTAACTTCATCTATGAACAGAGATAATCATTACTTCTTTATGGATTTTGTGTGTGTGTGTGTGTGAGAGAGAGAGAGAGAGAGAGAGAGAGAGAGAGAGAAATGCATGATGTAGGTAAAGACTTAGCTCAGTAACTACTCAGAAATTGTTCACAGATGTCCTTACTTTTACTTTCACAGATATATCTTTTTTTCCCACATAAATGGACACCAAACACAGAATCATGAATTCTGCATTTAACTGATTTTCTCCCTGAAATTTAAGATTTCACATTTACTATTGTAGCAGTTCATGTGCTTTTATCTTATCCTCCCAGTTGATTGAAATTTTCTGTAAATTTTCATCCTATTTTAGATCAACTGTAGATTTGATACAGCTAACCTTTGATACACCTTATCCAAGATATTGATAATGCTGTGATTAGAGAAGAATCAAGGACAAAGCCACTCACTGGGACCTTCATCAAGGTTTATCTATTTCCACTTTTCATCGGTTGTTTAATGAGTTGTGAATGGAGCTTACTGCATTGACATCTTACACACATTGCTTCATCTTTCCACAAGAACATCCTAAGAGAAAAACCAGAGTGATAAATTTGTCTCTGGCATTCCCCAGTTCTGTCTGCCTGGTAACTCCTCAAATAAGAAATGATACTTGCTACATTTTAATTAATGTATATTCATTGTTGATGATTATTTTCTAATTATCTGTAAATTACCTAACAATCCACAAATGTTTTTCCTCGCCTCCTTCTTTGTGATAAATAAACTAATGTCCTCCCCCACATGCACATGTACTAATTCTAGAACCTGTGAATTTCTTACCTTATGTGGTAAAGGGACTTTACAGATGAGATTAATGGTATGGAGTTTGAGATGACAGTATATTGTATATCCAGGTGGACCCAATCTAGTCACACGAGTTCTTAAAAGCAGAAAACCTTCCCCAGGTGTGTCAGAGGTAGATCAAGCTTTCTTAGAGAGCCAAAGTGTTACTGATATAAAGATGGAGGAAGGAAGCCAAACACACTGGCCGGCACCTGTAATCCCAGCCACTTCGGAGGCTGAGACACAAGGATCATGAGTTTGAGGCCAGCCCGGATAACTTAGTGAGACTCTGTCTCAAAATTAAAAATTGAAAGAAAAAAAAAAGTAGGAAGGAATCATAAAGTAAAAAAAGAGTGCAGCCTTTAGAAGCTAGAAAAGACAGAGAGCAGATTCCCCACCTCTACCATACTCCACAGTCTCCAAGGTGTATTGCTAACACCTTGATTTTAGCTCAGTGAGATCTATGTTGTACTTCTGACCTTCAAAACGCTAAGAAGATAAATTTGCTTTAAACCACTAAGTGTCTGGTAATTTGTTAAAGCTTCCATAGGAAACTAATACCTTCTCATTGCTGTCTTCCTCCTCTTTTGTAAATTTATACTAACATAGGTTTTTCTTCAAATTCATTTTTGGTCTTGGGGCTTAATTTGCCAAGACACAGGAAACTAGTATAAGTCTGGTGAATTTCAGGAGATCATCAATCTCCCAATAACAATTATCTTCATTAATGTAGGTTGCAATGAAATATCTCCAAAGCAAAACTTTGCTAGACTTGCCCTGATTATTTTAATGACAAAACTGTATTTATTTTTCAAAATCTGAAATTCATCCAGTCTCTACTCCATTACACCTCTGATGTAATTCAATAAAATCCTACAGTTTCATTAAATATACTAATAACATTATTGCAGTTATTGTAGAAGCTACATTTGTGAACCAGAGCCCACTCTCTCACATACCCATTTTGTGACTTTTAATAGTCACTTTCATTTCTTAGTGCTTCAGTTTTCATACCTAGAAAAATAAGAATTTTTTTTTTTTTTTTGAGCTAGGGTCAGCTATGTTGTCCAGACTTGCCTCAAATTTGCAATCCTCCTGCTTCAGCCTCCTGAGTAGCTGGGATTACAGACACATGCCACTACTCCCTGATAAATAAGGACATTTGATAAAAATAATCTGTATCTAAAGTTTCTTTATTCCTCTAAATTGCTATGTTCAATCATAGTACAGACCAAGAAAAAAATTGTTTCCTTGCAAAAGGAGAAACTGATTGAAATATAGTTCTTAAGTCCTACATGCATGCCAGCCCCTCTACATGAAATGCATTTTCTTTCTCCTTTATTTCCTTTTACCACTTATATCCCCAGCTAGTAAAATCCTACTCTGCTTTCAAGTCCTAAATCAAATGCCACTTCTCATGAAAACTCCCTTGATCACAGCATCAGGAGTTAATCTTGCTCTTGTCTGAAATACTACAGCACTCATTGCCTGTAGGCTTAGCACAGACAGTTATTATTATTTTTTTGTTATGGTTGCAATGTCTTGCCACTCCAACCAGATTGCAGCTCCCTGAAGATTGGGACCATGTTCCTTGTTATTTGCCAATAGCAAGTGTTCAGTAAATATCCTGCCTTTCCTCCTATTATAAAGGAAGTGGTGTTCTACTCCTACCTAAAGCCCACCTCTTGACTTCTAATTCCTTCTTCTCCTGCCTCTCACAGACTCAATGACATCCATTATCCTCCATCGCTCCTTCTCCTTTAACTTCAACTTCTCTTCCAGCCTGTCCATTGGCTCGCTATATCTCATTTTAAAAAATTCTATCATCTATCTGTCTGTCCTACATCCAACTCGAGCTACATGATTGGACCTGAAAAATTTCATGAAGGAGTTGAGTTGTTCCCATCTACAGCCTCCACTTCACCTATGCTATTCATGATTCTGCCCACTTCAGTCTGGTTTCCAAGGTTACCAGTGCTGTCCAGGTCACCATCGCCAATGGATATCTACTATGCTTATGTTCTAAGCAGCAGATTCTGCTATTGACCATAACTTCCTCCTTGAAACACTCTCGCCCTTTGCCTTCCACTGGATGTTCCTTTAGTCTCCTGTATCAGTTCACTCTCTGTTATTCACCACTGAAATATTTCCCTTCCTTAGAATTATATCTTGGACCCCCTCCCTCAATTTCTCCATGTATTGATCAGCTTTTTGTTTTTGTGACCAAAATATCTGCGCAGGCGGGGGGGGGGGTGTGGACTACTTAGAGGAGGAAAAGTTTATTTTGGGCTCACAGTTTCAGAGGTTCAGTCCATGGTTGGCCAACTCCATTGCTTTCAGCCAGAGAGCATCATGATAGAAAGGCATGGTAGAGTCAAAGTGCTTACCTCATGGTACCTGGGAAGCAGAAAGGGAGTGAGGAACCAGGGAGAATATAAACAAAGAGAGACAGGAAGAGGCCAGGGTCCCGAAACTCCTGCAAGAACGAGCACAGCACCACTGACTTGACTTTCTCCACTAGGTCCCACCTCCTAAAGGTTGGAGCACCTTTGAAGAACACCAGGGGTTCGCCACCAAACCCCTAACACTTAGGTCTTTGGGGGACATTCCGGATCTAAACTATAGCACCATTTTAAATATATGATCAACATAAGACATTATGTGATAGTATGTGAACTAAGTCCTGTGTGTGTTTTACATTTAAGGACTACCTCAATCCAGACTAGCCCCATTTCAAGAACTTGGTACCTGTTTGTATCTAGTGATTACCTTATAAGATAGAGCAGGTCTAGACACTGGTCTAATAGCACATACTGTTCTCCTACCCTCTTCTCTAGTTCCTACCTCATGATATCACCAGATAATAGGTACTCTCCCTCATAAATCAGGAAGTCCTTTCATAATCCCCCAAAGCAGAGAAAGTGCCCCTTGTTCCATGTCCCTAAAGCATCTTGAATGTCTATCATAATACCCACCACACACATAATTATTTCTTCATCCTGCTATCAGCTCCATGAGCAAAGTGTCTGCCTTGTCCAGAGCTGCATCTAACCTAACACCTAGCACGTGAAAGTTCTTCAAGATGTATTTGATTAAATAAATTTAAGGCAACTTCCAGGATAATTAAAAACAGTTCTTTACATTGC